GTTTTTTTTTTTTTTTTTTTATAATCTGCCTTTTTTTTTTTTTTTTACCCTGTTAGCAAAATTTGTCCAAATTCAGTTTTGTGTGATTTTGAAATACATTCAGATGTACAGTAAAGATTAAATAAACATTCAAATGAAATGGACCATTTGTAATAATAACTATATATTTACTCATTTTAAGCCGTCACTCAATAAAAGCTAGCTAGTTTGGTGCCAAAATGCTGGTTTGCAGTTACTGATCAACTTATAGCCTGTTTTTTTGCTGAATTGTTTGACTGGAAAATAATTAAGAGATGATTTACTTGTGTTCCCATCAGGCTGTAGAAAGTGATTTACTAGTGAATATAAACTGAACAGATCATCAAAATATCAAGATCATGACATGTAGACAATTATGAGATGCTTTTATTTTATTTGTATTTAGTTTTGGGATCCACCTTTGAGTTGGGACAGGCCGAAATCAAAGATGAAGACAGATTTGAAGTTTTGACAGCTATAGCTGTTTTTCATGCTTGGGCAGTATTATAGATAATAGTTTATCAAATAAATCCCACAACAAAACTGGATTTGTGCCTGTACTGGTTTAAAACCAAAGTTTACCATAACTGTGGAATGTGCCATACACTATAAATAAGACACAGAGATCAATAGCTGAAAGAGTTATATAGAAAATTGCAAGGTCCAAGTTCATTTTAAAGTAATACTCGCGCCCTCTAATGGTGAAAAAAGCAATTGAATCATGTTTTAAATATAGTATTGCTTTATAATTTCATTAGTCATTTAAGTTTTTCATAAAAGCAACCCCATCGGGAACCCCTTTTTCTTCTTCTTACATGAGCAGGCATATGCTTCAGTCATACAGATTAATGAGCAGTGGATCTATTGACAGATAAGACAAGACATGCCTAATGATGATGGTGGTGACCGCAGCCTTAGTCAGCTTATAAATCATCTCCTGCTTTACCCTGCAATGAAACAATCCAGACATCTGTTTGGATGTCTGGATCAAATCTATGGGACTTCAGTTTCACACATCCCTTAAACCCCAAAGTCCCGTTAACATCTCACGGCTAAATTATTCATTCATATTGGCTCTGCGTTCTGCTCAAGTTCAGGACATTCACTTCAATTTTTTAAGGGTGCATGAATTTTTAATCTGTTTTGTAAGTCCCAGTAAATATAGGAGTTTTTGTTTTTTTAGAGATTCTTTAAAAGATACATTCATTTTCTTTTTATGTTTGTGATCTCCTATAGTTTCATATCAGTGGTCTTCGGTGCTCATTGAAGTGCTCCATGCATGCTTTTCTAGTAATCAGTTTGTTAGGTTAGGTTAACGACCTGACAGAACTCAGTATGAGCCTTTGGCTGCTGTAAGGTTGAGTGCTTGTGACGGGCTGGAGAGTAATTGCACAAGCTTTAATGGGCCCTTGCTGGGTGTCTGTGATTCTTTGGCCTCTTTTCTGATAGAAAAAGGGAAGATCTGGCCAGCAGAGGGCACAGTTTGCATGGCAACACAAAACCAGCTCATAAGACTTTCTTCTCTAATTTTGTGTTTTACACAAAGTTAATCGCTGGCTCTTAATAATGGTAATCCATTACTTTTCTAATTTCATTTCTCATTCGACTGGTTTCTTTGTTTGTTTTCGATCATTCTTTCAGATTTGTGCTTTCTCCGCAGTTTGAAGTAGCTAATCTAGTCATCTGATTTCTGTGGGAATGAGTCTATGGGTGTTTACAGGCTTCCATTACAGACCATCAATTATTCATGGACTAATTATATGGCTATTGTTTCCTGCCATTATTTCTAAGAGTTTACATTTATCAAAATTGCCCACACACGTCATCACTCTTTTCTTGCTCGGCTGGATGCAGAATTTACTTTTGTAACTACTACAGCAACTTGTAATGATTCCAGTATTAAAATCTTTGCAGTGTTGTGCAGACCAGAGAGAGAGAGAGAGAGCAACAGTAAATCTTAACACTGTTAAGGTAGCTCTGAGTATAGTGTCATTTAATTTTTCATGCTGGGGGATGTCAGTCTGTTGTTTGTATCTTCCTCGTTGACATTTCTGGTACTACAGCACCTTCTGTTTGTCCTGCTTCTGATGTTGTGTTAATTATGGTTATATCCATATGTGCACCATGTGAGGTTATGCAGCTCTCAGAATGTTTAACGAAGAGCCGGCTGTGCAAGACCAACCTGAACAACAACATTTTTTAAGGTTAAAAGCCACACTTGTGTTTGGCACAAAAGGTTCCCAGCAGGCACACAACATCATAAGACGTTGATATTTGGTTACATTTCGGTTGCGATGTCGGGTGACCAAAATTCAATGTAAATTCCACGTCTAATGTCAATGTTAAATTGATGTCCAATACCGACGTCAGCTGACGTTGACATTTTGTTGTTTTTAGGTTGTGTAACCAAAATCCAATGTTAAGTCAACGTCAAATTGACATCAACCCGATTTTCATTTTTAAACAAAATGTAACGTCTGTCTGACTTCATGTCCAACGTCAACCTGACGTTACATAGACGTCCGGTGCCTGCTGGGTTAAAACAGTTCCCAGAGATCAAATTGTACAGGTTTACTCTTGAAAAATAACAATTTGCCACTTTAGATGATATACAATTTACACAAGAGCAGTGGGGAGAGAACACATCCCTGGGGGGCACCAGTGCTCATGGTGCGGCTGTTTGACATGATTTTCCCCAGTCTCACTAGCTGTTGCCAGAAAAGCTGTCAGAAAGCTGGTGGTCCATTGACAGATAGAGCTAGGAACAGAGAACTGGGTTAGTTTGGTCTGGAGGAGTGCTGGGATGATTCTACTGAAAGCCGAACTGAAGTCCACAAACAGGATCCTCTCATAAGTTCCTAGTTTGTTTAGATGTTGTAGGATATAATGCAGTCCCATATTGACTGCATCATCCACAGACCTGTTTGCTCAGTAAACAGTTGTTACAGTCTCTGTGAGCTCTTCCAGATCGGTGGCAGCAGCTTCAAAAACACTCCAATCAGTGCAGTCGAAGCAGGCTTGTAAATCCCGTGGGCCTATTTTTCTGCAGGAGGTCCTGGATATCTTGTTCAGATACATAGCATCATGGATTCTATCATAAACCAACAGAGAAAAAAATCGAAACTTGACTGCTTCTGTTAGAAATCTTATAAATGGGTCTTGGTTGGATCTTCCATCAGGACAATGATCCAAAACAAACATCAAAATCAACACAAAAATGTGTCACTGAGCACAAAATGAATCTTCAGCCATGGCCGTCCCAGTTCTCTGACCTGAACCCTATAGAAAATGAGTGGGGAGACTGAACCTGAAGAGAAGAAGTTTTTTTTTTTTTTTTTATTTTTTTTTTTTTTTTTATAGAATCTGCCTTTTTTTTTTTTTTTTACCCTGTTAGCAAAATTTGTCCAAATTCAGTTTTGTGTGATTTTGAAGTACATTCAGATGTACAGTAAAGATTAAATAAACATTCAAATGAAATGGACAGTTTGTAATAATAACTATATATTTACTAATTTTAAGCCGTCACTCAATAAAAGCTAGCTAGTTTGGTGCCAAAATGCTGGTTTGCAGTTACTGATCAACTTATAGCCTGTTTTTTTGCTGAATTGTTTGACTGGAAAATAATTAAGAGATGATTTACTTGTGTTCCCATCAGGCTGTAGAAAGTGATTTACTAGTGAATATAAACTGAACAGATCATCAAAATATCAAGATCATGACATGTAGACAATTATGAGATGCTTTTATTTTATTTGTATTTAGTTTTGGGATCCACCTTTGAGTTGGGACAGGCCGAAATCAAAGATGAAGACAGATTTG